CCCACACACACACACACACACACACACACACACACACAGAGAGAGAGAGAGAGAGAGAGAGAGAGAGAGAGAGAGAGAGAGAGAGAAGGGTGGAGGATGGAGTTGTGCACGGATTTTGACGCGTACCTCTGGTCTCACAGAGACACATGCGCGCACACACACACATGAGTCGGTGAAAGTCCAATGAAACAGTCTTGCATTTTTTGAGCGTATAACGAATGACAACACACATAGAGACGGGATGGAACGGCAATGCCTGTACAATTCCAGTCGGCGTGTATCTGTGTTCCTAGTATGTAGGAGCCACTTAGACCGTGGCATCTGTCTACGCTGTGCCATTCTATGCAGCAACTGCAACTGCGAGAATTGGACGTGGTGCTTTCACAGTCCACACCCGAACCGGTTTGTAGGGGTGGCTGCTTACCATAGACAACGGCTGCTCCTGAACTCAAAATCTCCTGCAACCCAAACACTCACTGACCTCTCGTGTCATTCTGGAGTAGTGTCTTCGAGTGGTGAGTATTAAGAACCCTCTGAAGTTTGTCTTCCTCGGTTCTGTTCTTTGCAACTCCACTCCCCTCCCCCACCAGTCTCTCTCACATCTCTTGCTTCCTATAGAACTCCACCGCCTACCGCTTCCTTCCTCCCTCCCTTTTTGTATGACTAGTAAATGCATACGAATGAGCATAATTATGAGAACAGACAAAATATAAGCTGAAGATCTGAAGAAAAATGTACAGGAGTATACCCCCCCCCCTCCTTCCCCGTTTTCCTCTTCGTCCTATCGTAACGTGCAACTGTGCCGTTAAGGCAGCTGGCGCTCAACCACAATCAACGTGCCCAGCCGTGCATGTGAGAGGCATAGAAAAAGTGGAGCTGCAATAATAAATAAATGGGGTACCCCAAAGAAAACTGAAGTAAGGATACGTAAGAAAGGCATCGAAGTGATCTGTTGTTCTCCTTGTTGCTTGCTATAGAGGTAAAACTGTTTCATTGTTGGATTGGCTCATCTCAAGTGTGCTTCATTGTCTGCAATGATTTTGGATCTACCATCTGGGTAGAACGGGGGCTGTTGTGGGGAAAATCTAAAACACACACAGTCTGGTACAAGTGATTGTATGAAATGGTGTGTGCAGGCCCAAGCCTTGAGCCTTGCCCGCCGCTTCCTTTTGTTTTGAAGGACCGGGCCTACAATTTCGCTAGTCCTTTTCTCCAGGAAAGCACTGAGCGGTCTCAGGAGACCCCACTCCCACTGGTCACCCATGCCAAAGATCGCCAACCTTGAGGACAGATGCAGCACCACACTAAAACTGCCCGAACACACCCATGGTCACCCATGCAAAAGAAGGCCCTTGAGGACAGATGCATCACCACACTAAAACTGCCCCGAACACACCCATGTCAGCAGACACAAAACGCAGAAAGTGGCGTGTAGAGAAAATGCTGCCCGTTTTTCTCCCCGTCTTGACTGGGCCTGTCCAAAACAGCATCACTACTGAGCATTTACTGGGTCGTCAGGTCTTCAAGATTGGACGATCCAAAACAGCATGCGAGAATACGAAATTCGAGCAGCAAAACCATGCATGAGTGGACAAAACTGACCGCAGAATTGACAGCACACAAATGCAAAAAGAACATGCTTTAACACTGAAGGGTCTTGATAATGAAACCCTCTTTGTACCCCTGCACAAGCAACCCAGCAACGAAGTAGTAGTAGCCCTATGATGTGACTGCCTACGGTACGTCCCTAGTCTAGCCTATCAGCACACTCTCTCTCTCTCTCTCTCTCTCTCTCTCTCTCTCTCTCTCTCTCTCTCTCTCTCTCTCTCTCTCTCTCTCTCTCTCTCTCNTCTCTCTCTCTCTCTCTCTCTCTCTCTCTCTCAATGTCCTCTCGCCAGATGCAGCGGAAGAGTCTGATCACGTAGGTGGCCGCCCGCAGTGCACCGGGTAAGTATCTTTGTCCCCACAGCCTTGCTACTCTTCCCAAGGACCTTCCCTTTCACCTTGCCACCCTTCTACTCACTTGCAGTGCATCTCTTCCTGCTATGACGTGTGCACGTGGAGCAAGTGCACTGCTACTGCTGCTTCCCTGGGCGCTGGCCAGCTTGCTTGATGCAGGGCAGTCTGCCAGCACTCTGACCAACAATTGCCTGCCGGCCACTCTGCCTCCTCTGCTTAGCCTTCTCTTTGTTATCTTTCGTCTGGTGTCTGAACTTCCAGGGTGGTAGTCCGGTCGGTACCGGGTCAGGTTGTCTGCCTGGCTGGGGCCCCGGCTTGGGGCCTACTGGGGACTACATGGGCTTTGGGCCTACTGGCGACTACATGGCATGGCCTGATCGCAGCCTTCACTAAGGGTGGCTGTGCCCTCAGGGACTGGTTCTACCTGCAATAGCTGTTGGCCCTCCATGCTGACGCCACCTGACGGGAAGGGCCAGTCGCTGGACAACCAAAGAAGTCCCTTCTCAACCCCCTCTTTGACCGATTGCCTGCTCCAAAACTTCGGCCAACCTTGACAATGACGCGGCACCCCACCAGACCGCAGCCTTAGGTCTACGAATTGTGAAGTTCAGCGGGTTTCGTTCAGGACGTTACATTGACTTGGATCCACGGATTGAGCACTTTGGCTCTGGAACGGCTCTCTTTTTCAATAAGGAACACCAAAATAAGTTGCCTCAAGTTTATTGCTGGGCCACTCGCATAAGTTAACAATTGATTGCCATGCAGAGTATTACTGCATTACAGATAGAAACAAAAGAATTGTTAAAACATCGGGAAGTCACATTATACCAAACTCCACGAGTTGTGTCACTTATTTGGCGTTCAATCATGAAACACAAGATGAGCCCGGAGCAAAGCTGTATGGAAAACAGTTGCGGGAAAGGAAAATCCTCAAACATTTTTTAATTTTTTTTCCTGTTTTCAGAAAGGCCTTTGCTGGACTGGGATTCACAGGTCATATCACCGAAGTTTTCTGAGCCAGCGCTTCACTTTAGACAGGCCATATGTAGCCGTTTCTCGAATACGACATGGATGTGAATGAATTCGCTATGTGGTTCACCCTTATAAAAATTCTCCTTATTCTGAAACCGATCACGCACAGCCAGCAGAGAAATCCGAGTGAGATGTGCTGGCAGGTTCTAGTAGTATCAAGAGACAACTGCCGTGTGGGCGAGTGATACACACGCAAGTCTCGGTAAATAGGTCATCTGCCCTTTTTTTTTTTTTTTAATGCTATCAAGTGGTTTAATACGGGTTCAACTGTACAAAAAACATTTTTATAACTTTCTAAGATCCTGCTTCAGGTGCTGAACAGACTTACCTTTGCGTCCTGCTGCAGGTGCTGAACAGACTTACCTTCGCCTCCACTCTCTCCCATTTGCGAAGGCTGAACTCGCCCATTGGAAGAGAAGGTTCGTTTCACCGCTGTGTTTTCTTTTCTCTTTGCTGACGCTTTGTTGTGCTGCTTCCCAGTCTGTTGCTCAAACATGTTTCTTCTGCTGTGCCCTTTTCTTTTTCTTCCGCCCTTTTTTGTGAAGGGTGTAGCACTTCGTATCCATCTGATTCCTACGAGGATGCAAACTGATGACCTGTTTACTCAATAGTAACATCGATGTAGCTTTCAGCCATGCATGTGCGCTTGTAGTGGACGGTCCTTAACAGTAGTTATAGTCCATCATTCTCCACCTTGGACGTTTGGTGATTGACAGTGAAGCAGGACTCAAGGGCGAGCAGGGGCAAGATACAGAGGGTAAAGGTAACAACATAAACAAGGAGATGAACACTGGCGAGGGGTGTGAATGAGAAGGAGGAGGGTGACAAGAGGGGTGAGGAGAGTCTCTGACTGGCTGTTGAGTGGGTTCACTGGGTTGGAAATTTTTGTTTGGTTTCACTTTTGTTTCGTGCCACGCAAAGATAGACTCCCACCAAGCCATGACAACATAATGACCTGTCACTCCTAGGGCCAGGCCCCATGGGTGGTATGTTTGAGCTATGTGAGCAGGATCGCCGTGCTATAGTTGCACTACGCCTTTGCTTTATTTCAGTACGAGCATGTTAGTCCTTTTACAAACTGGCACAAAGTGTATTTGCAAAGGTGTCGCCCATTTCTATTGGGCGTTCGCCATGTCTCCAGGATTTCCTCCTGGTTTCACATCAAGTGGGACTTGAAGGGGAGCACCGGTGGAACTTGTATCAGTTAGGAATCTTTGTTTGTCAAGAGCTTGTTTTTCCCCTGGCGACCTTGTGTGGTTGCGACTACCGTATGTTTTCTGAGGCCAGGTCACTTTACACTTGCCTAGTCTGCCCAGCTCCTCCTCCTCCTTCACACACAAAGTGGGGCGCGTACATGCCTTGACGAGGACGAATCGACCCAAAGGGAGAACTATTTTCCCACCACGGGAAACAGACAGGAACGGTGACATGGCCTGCTTCTAGCGATCTGCACTACCTGCAGAGGCATCATCCTTCTCTGGCGGCCGTGTGGGACCGGCGTCCCAAGTTGACTATTTGCACCAGTGCGTGCACCGGTCCTTGCACCACTCTTTGCACCTTTCCTTGCACCAAGTGTTGCACCACTCCCGGTACAGCTCCTTGTGTCACTACTTGCACCTCTCCTTTGTACCACTCCTTGCACCGCACCTATTATTTCTTTCCATTCGTCTAGGTCCCTTAGGATTCGAACGCAGGTCTGTACCCTACTCCTTGTGCCACTACTTGCACCTCTCCTTGTGCCACTCCTTGCACCACACCTATTATTTATTTCCGTTGTCTAGGTCCATTAGGCTTCAAACTCAGGTCTGTACCACTCCTTGTTCCACTACTTGCACCTCTCCTTGTACCACTCCTTGCACCGCACCTATTATTTCTTTCCGTTCGTCTAGGTCCATTAGGCTTCAAACTCAGGATTCAAAATCAGGTCTGTATTGCAACAGTTCATGGGTGTACCGACTGAGCTAGGCCCGTTGGTTCTTGCACCACCTGTTGGAGCATACTCACACCAGGACCGCAATTGCTTCCAGGAATCGGTTGAAAAGGTCCTAGTGACCAACTGGACTAGCCTACTTGGTACGCCACTGAGCTGTTGAAATCTATACCCGAGTTCAAACTCCACTGGAAGCAGATGAGTAAAATACCGCAATCCTCAATTAGCCAGGGCCAGTGAGTTCGATGATGATTTCTCAAGGCTGTTGCCTTTTGTGGGGAGCTGTTGCCTTTTGTGGGGAAAAGAAGAGAAATATTTCAAAGAGCTCTTAGTGTGAGTATTCCCTTACGCTTGTTATTGTTCACCCTGACTGTTGTGAAACATCCTGTGCTCAATTGGACTTCGAGGTCCCGCGTGGCAGGTCCTTCTGTTGCGTCTCACCATCTGATGGTTGATTATCCTCTCAAGCGCTATGCATCCAGTATGGATGGAGCTGATGATTTGGGTAACAGAAACCCAAACTTTGAAGGACAGCACACTGCGAATGGGCGTTCTATTCGGGTGAAGACGGTAGACTGAAAATCGCACCAAATACAGCTCAAATGAATGGGCGTTCTATTCGGGTGAAGACGGTAGGTGTGGTGAAATGTTCCGCAAGCTGTGTTGATCGAAGGGACCTCTCAGATGCAGGCTGGATGAGCTGGTTGGGTCTCCTTTGCAGAAGCCTTCATTGCATCTGTGCGGCAACAGGGTTTGTTTATGTGATTGACGTAACAGAAGTGACTCTAGAGCTATCTGAGTAGACTATTTTTCAGTGGTAGAAGGGCAAGCAGGTAGGTGTTTTGTCCTGGATGTTTCGGCAAGACACGATTCAATTCTTCATCCTCTGTGCGTTTTGTCCGTTGGCCAGGTAAGCTGGCGAAGCCTCGACAGCTTCACAATTCTCACTGGGGGATGATATGCCCAGCAGAAACTCCTGAAGGACAGGTAATTCCTATCTTCGCTCTTCCGCTCCCTGTCCCCCTCGCCCTCCCCGTTCTCTCTCCAAGGTAATTACCGGGTATCGTTGCATCTTGTCAATGCTCTGAAGGGAATTCCTATCTCCCCTCTTCTGCTCTCCGTCCCCCTCGCCCTCCCTGCGCTTCCCCAAAGGTAATTCCAGGTATTGTTGTTGCGTCTTGTCAATGCACTGAAGGGAAGGTGATTCAGGATATGGATACAGATTTCTGCGGCTGTAAGTAGTCGTCCTTGAACTCTTGAGGATGTGTACAGCATTGATGTCAATGTTTTGATATGATGGTGATGCTGCAAGTGTTCTTTTCTATTTGGAAATTAGAAAAGGGAAGGTGATTCAGGATATGGATACGGATTTCTGCGGATGTTAGTAGTCGTCTTTGAACTCTTGAGGATGCATAGAGCATTGATGTAGATGTTTTGATGTGATGGTGATGCTGCCACACTGCTCTTTTCTGTCTGACAATTGAATGTGATTCCTTGTTGTTGGTGTGCTTATGGACTTTCCTGTGCCTGTAAATAGTTGTCTTTGAAGTCTTGAGGGTGTATAAGGTGTTGCTCCACAGCTCCAAACGTGTTTGGACGTTTCCTCGTCCATATGAACAAGTCTTTGGAAGTCTCGCCACACCGTCTACAAGTGCTTTGAAGCATCGACACAGTGGTATACATGCGATTTTTGAGTGTAATCTCTTCTTTTTGGGGGAGTTTTTACACCATCTATACACTCAGTTAGAACCGAAACTTTGTGATTTTGTTTTGCTTGCACTCCGTATTTGTTTGATCGATACCAGTCTTCATCATCTTCTTGTCTGTTTTTGGTATATAGCCTCTGGAGAAGTCTGGCGTGGCGTTTTGCATCTGCTGGCTTTCGCTGCCGAAGCTACTTTCCTCATATCACCTAATTCTTGAAAGATGCATAAGCTGTCACAGTAACTGAAGTGGGTTCAGTAGATGTATCAATGTCTGCCAAAATTTCTGTTATGTATTATGTATTTATCGGTGTGCTTGCAATAGCCGTTGGTGATTGCTGTCTCCATCATTGGACAAAATGTTGCCTTCGAGCATGGAAATTGTTGATATCGACCATGTATGCAAACCACATGCCAGTATGGAAGTCAATGTGATGTAACAGCTGCCTTGGTTTTTGGTGTGTCATGCCAGGCATGTGGATTGGTGAAGAACTTGGCGTTGATGGCGTGCATCTCCGTTGGCTCAGCAGCAGCTCCCATTTTGGAATTTTTGGAGGAGTGGACAACGGAGAATCTGGAGGTCAGTGCTTGTTGCTCTGCTCGACCTGGCACTGACTGAACTCGCAGCAATTGTGTGTGTGTGTGTGTGTGTGTGTGTGTGAGAGAGAGAGAGAGAGAGAGAGAGAGAGAGAGAGAGAGAGAGAGAGAGAGAGAGAGAGAGAGNGAGAGAGAGAGAGAGAGAGAGAGAGAGAGAGAGAGAGAGAGAGAGAGAGAGAGAGAGAGAGAGAGAGAGAGAGAGAGAGAGAGGATCTGCTATGGATTCCCTGAAGGTCATTCCCCTCGTGACTGAACTCGTAAGGGGCATTAAAAACAGTCTATGAACATATCCAGGTGAGGTTTCTTCAGGTGTCAGTCAGGTGGGTCAGAGTGGGGGCAAAGTTTCGCACAAGACTGACACATAAAGCCTGGGCAAATTAAAAAGAAACTGGGCAGGTTGGTTCAGGGTGGAGGTAAACAAAGAATGCTCACCTCTGATGTATTCTGATTAAATCACAAGTACCTTTCCCGGCTTGAAATCTATGACGCGCTGGGTAACGACGTAGCCAAGCCGGGGAGGCCTGCCTTTGATAAATCAAATCGGCGGCCCGCTTTCTGATTCGGGTCTCCGACACCGCCCGCGGCCGACATACAGGAAAGGTACCGGTGGTTTAGTGAAAGGCGTCCCGTGTCTGAATCTAGACTCCTTAATTAGTTTTCCTAACAAGGAAGTCCGAGATACCTTGTGGGATTACTTTTTACTTGTAGCTGTCATCTCGGGCCGGATCCGGAAGGGTCTACCAGGCCCCTAAAAATCACATTAACATCTTTGAGGTGACACGTGGAACCCGAAACATCATCCTGGGTACCCCCGTCTCCTGAAAGAAATTCTGGGCTGGGGCCCAATCCGGACATTCTAGACCGGTTGCCGGATCCGGATGTGTGGCCGATACCGTGGTGAGAAGTTTAAACATGAATGTCTAATTTGGAGAATCTGTGTTCTTGCTGTCGATTCTCGGTCTGTCGTTCATATATGGAACAGAGTGTTTGAAACAGTGGCCAGATCTATTGATTGTTATAAGATGTCCTCGAAACCTCTCGTAGTTGATCTGCTGTCATGAACGGAACAGTTGAGACGACGACCAGCATTGCCTGTGAAGAATGGTGGAAAACAGAAATCACATTTTTAACATCCGCAACCTCTCTTACTTGTACAATGGTTTCTGACATGCGTCTTATGTTTCCGATGGCTCCACTGTGATTGTTTATTTTCAGGAAATATCCCCGGCTGTCATTCCAAATGCAACGAAAATTTTTGTCAATGGGTGCTGGGTTGGCATTCACAGAGACCCGGAGCTGCTGGTCCGGACTCTGCGGCAGCTTCGCAGACAGGTAACTTATCTCCAAAGCCAGATTGCTTCTGGTTTTCTGAAACACTTTTTTTCCCAAAAGAGGGTAGTCGTTAAATCCATCCGACTCTATCTGGATTCGAACTTGTGATCTCTGTACTAAAAGTTTGGAGTAAGCAAGGGAGACTCTAGGCCCGTTCACCCAGCTCGATGAGCCTGAGTCAATCAATTCAATATCTAAATAGCGGATATAGATTTAAGGTAAATTGTCTGCCTTCCAAGCAGGGGATATGGGTTCGATTCCCATTATCCGCAATCGCAGCCGCCCACATCGATTACTACCGTCTTCACCCGAATAGAACGCCCGGTTATTATAGCTGTATCTGGACTGAAAGTGCACCAGATACTGCTATCATGACCAGGCGTTCTACTCGGGTGAAGATGGTAGCTTACATCAAATGACCAATTCTGTGGCACTGTGTTTTCTTTCTTCTTTTCCCTTTCATGCTTTCAATTTTGAAAGGGCACTTTCTACTTTAAGGGGTTGGTTTTCATTTGAGGGCGTCGGTTTTCGTTTGTATTGTGTCCCTGGCATTTATCTGTGTGTTTCTTGGACTGTGTATGGCCACTGTTTCCTTTAGGTTGACGTGCCGACAGAGGTTGGTGTGGTGAGAGACATTTTGCTCAAGGAGTTGCGACTGTATACTGATTACGGCAGATGCAGTCGTCCACTTTTTATAGTCGACAAGCAGCAGTTGCTCATTAAGAAGACCCACGTTCGTGCTCTGCAGCAGAGGGTATGTACTAAACTGACCTCCACTCATCTAGCCTCATGAAAACATCCTGAACCATTTTGTACTATGGCTGGAGTCCTTTTTTACCACTTTGCTTTGCATTTGCAGAATCCCAAGCAGATCCTTCATCTGTTTCTGATTTGAACTCTCCTGTTGACTCCTGTCGGCTGATGCTGACTGAGCTCCTGTTCCCTTTCTTTTTCCTCGTGTACATATAGTTGGCATTGATGGTATTGAAACCACCAGTTCGCCGAAAGCGAAGTCGACCTCTTATCGGTAAACTCAGTAAACTGTGGGGGCCAGTAAGAAAAGGCCCTGTTGGAGGCTATGGACCCTCAGCAGGTAGGTTCGTACACATAGTTTTGGCTGAACTGGTGATTCTCTTCCTTTTCCACTGTCTCTCCCCCTTTGTTTCTTCTACCTGTGTCCTCTTCTCCTTGAGCAGATACCTGGGGTCCTCTCTCTCTCTCTCTCTCTCTCTCTCTCTCTCTCTCTATCTATCTATCTATCTATCTATCTATCTATCTATCTATCTATCTATCTCTATCTATCTATCTATCTATCTATCTATCTATCTATCTATCTCTTCCCTTCCTGGAAGTTGTCGGGCATCGTCTTTTCTCTGCCGTCTTGTCCTTTCTGTCCTTCCCTACTCTTTCTCTGCACTGTACTGCCTCTCTGGATTTTCCTATGCCAAAACGTATCGGTACCCATACATGCTTTCTTTGGTGTAAGGTGCATAATTTCTTAGGGCCCAGGCTGACTGACACCCAACAAATTGGTTCTATGTTATGGACGATTCAGGAAATGACAGATTTTGGTTGGAACGAGCTTGTTTCGAAGGGGTTCATCGAGTATGTCGACACTGAGGAAGAGGAGACCACCATGATTTCCATGACAATTGCGGTAAGAAAATGTGAACCCCGAGAACCTGCAATATTTTATGGTGATACTGTGTCAGCGCTTCATATTGTTAGTATACCCTGCAGGGGAGGCTGCACTTGCCAACCCCCTCTCCCCTACTTGTCTGTCCCCAAGAAGGGGGACTTGTGGAACCTTAACAGAGGAGTGCAAATGCGTGGATACTCACACACACACACACACACACAGAGAGAGAGAGAGAGAGAGAGAGAGAGAGAGAGAGAGAGAGAGAGAGAGAGAGAGAGACAGAGAGAGAGATGCGTGAAAGGTGGAACGTGTGCTCTCTGAAGGATGCATAAAGAGTGTGTGTTCGGTGGGAGGAGATGTGGCAATGATGTTCATCAAATGTGCCAATTGATTGTTAGAAAATAATAGAAATGTAATCGGAATATATTAATAGAATTCAATACGTATCATGGTTTAGAAGGACCCAGAGTCCGGCGCAATATGGACCTGGCCAGCCACGTAGTGTGGATATCCCGACCATCCGGGCTGTTGACACTTAAGATGCGTTCGGATGTGTCGTGATCCCAAAAGAAAAGGGGAAAGTTAAAAGAACCCGTAAGTCTCTGCTACTTTCTGCACATACAGGTCTACCATGCTTCCACCATGCAACTGTTGCAACATTTACTTTCTTTTCAGGGCTGATGATAACGCGCAATTTGGGAGCTAGCTTCAGAAATAGGTTGCAACAGGTCTGAAAGCAGGGGGAATGATGATGCGGAATTGGGGGGATAGCTTTGGAAGAAGGGGGTTGATAGGTTTGGAACTTTGGATAGGTTCAGAATCTTCAGATGTATCTCAGAACTAAAAGAAGTCACAGAGAGAGAGAGAGAGAGAGAGAGAGAGAGAGAGAGAGAGAGAGAGAGAGAGAGAGAGAGGGGGGGGGATGGATGAGTGGTCTTTGGGGCCTCTGGATATATGGCGATGTGTTCATCAAATATGACAATTGATTGTTAGACAACAATAGGAATATTAGGAATGTAATCCGAACATAATTCAACATGTATCATGCAATATTATATCGGAATACTGAACGTTTTCCATTTGTTGGCTGCCTTTCGTGTTTTTGCGCTCAAGGATCCCTGTGGATGAAGACAATTGGCAGGCAGCTGATGGAGGTTAAATTGTTGCGTTGTTTGTTGCATTGTGTCACTGATGTTGTGCTTTCAGGATGTGGTGAATGCAAGGAAGAACCCTCAGCAGGCGTACTCCGTCTACACGCATTGTGAAATTCATCCCTCTCTTATCCTTGGAATCTGTGGATCCATCATACCCTTCCCAGATCACAACCAGGTGGGCATCATTCCTCTTGCTAAACAAGTCTCTCTTACAAACAGTCATGTGCCATAGGCAATTGCTGTACCTTACTTCAAACTTCCAGTTATGCGTATAGAGTTATTACCTACCAGCGTTCCATGAGCTTTTGTCCTCGTGCAGGATGCACTTGTGCTGCTTGGATGTGCGCTTGTATGAGCTTGCCCCTGTTTCTCCCTATCTTCTGAGATCCACAGGCTCACTTCCGGTAGCCTAGCCTAGGCCATGGTGTACCTGAGCCAGAGCAGTGCTGGATCCCGTTTCTCAGATTTAGTGTTGAAATCTTGAAGAACTAGCTAGACGTACGCTGGAGAATGGAACGATCATGATTCCTTCTCAAAAGGGAACACTTTGTAGGAGTTCATGTGGTTTTCTATTTCCTTTTCGTTTCAATCAAAATGTGGTGTGGAAAGGTTTTGAGAAGGTACCTCTTTCACGTGGAAACGCTCTTTAAGGGAACTTTGGCATTAGGTGGCCGTGACCAAGAGTCTACTGGTTTTGCTTGGTGGGCAGGCAATGCTAGACTTACAGTGATGCATGTCCGAAGGCAAAGCAGAAAAGTGCTGCTGGTTCTTTGTGGACGGGCAAAGGGAGAAAGGTGTCGCTGCAAGAAAGAGCGACAATCAAAAGTTGCACTGCTGCAACCTGAGGAAAAGGCATGATCCGAGCTTAGAGTTGGATTGGTCGATGCAGTTGTGTACAAGCTAAGTCACTGAGGGAATCGCCGTCCCACAGGTTAAGAGCTCAAACTCTGTTGAATCCCGCAACGATAGGGCAAAAACAAAGGAACTAAGAGAAAACGAGGTTTTGTCCAGGGATGGCTGAGTCCTTTATTTCATCGCCGATGTGTTTTTTTTTTATTATAAATAGGGAACTGAATCAACTGGAGTTTATTTAGACCTTGCATGGTAGTGATTTTGAGTTCAGTAGTTTCCAAAAGCACTACCTTCTTCCCCCGAACACATCATGTTTGGGGTATCTTCCAGTCTAAATACAGCTGTAATGACCGCACGTTGTATTCGGGGGAAGAAGGTAGGCATTGTGTGTCAGGGTTGGCTGGTCTATGTGCACAGCTAAGGGATTGTGAGGGGGGAAAGAGCACACCGGAGCTTGCTGACAACTGAACAATGGAGTGACGATTCAACCGGCCCCTACCTATTGGTCCAGTAAGCAGCTTCTGCATATCTTGGGAAACCCCACAAGAACTTCTGCAGGGGCTGAGGCCTAGATATATGGTCAGGGTGGGGTGGGAAGGGAACCCTTGAATTGGTTCAGCATTAGATTTATCGCAGGTATCTGGGATGATGTAACTGAGGTCTCGTCGTCTAAGTTGATTGTGTCCATAGACGACTGGTCCTTTTCCTGGGGTCTATGGATGCACGTAGCTTGGTAGTTACCCATGTTTCCGAGTGATTGGAAAAGCATCAGAAGAGTCGGTGGGAGGCATAGAAAGGAATCTGGAGGCAGATGGCGGCCAAACTGACGGTCAGAAGTCTGTGGTTCTGCTGTTTTCTTTGCGATGGTGTTGTGCTCTCTCTTGGATTTTGTATGGCTTATGTCTGAAATACAGTCGCCCCGTAACACTTACCAATCTGCTATGGGAAAGCAAGCTATGGGCATTTATGTCACAAATTATCAGTTACGCATGGTAAGTTCTTCCTCTCCTTGGAAGCCCTGTGGTCCCATTTTGTCAAACCATAGCCTTCTTTTGCTTCTTCATCGGGAAATTGAAATATGTCTCTATTTCAGCACCTCTTTCATTCAGCTGTGTCTTATTGCATCTCGACTGCCGGCCAACTTTCCGCTTGTAGTAGATGTGGTATAGAATAGCATGCAGCAGAATAGCACAAATCAGCAATGTGTTAAATCATCGCTGCCCCCGATAGCTAAACAATGCCCACCTGACCGCCCACGGCGGGCTGCGGGGTGGGCCAATAGGCTTGGTGGCAGCCGGCGGTCGGCGAGCAGCTTTTCACAAAATGTTGAGTCGGCCAACTTTGATGATGCTTTGTGCGCAGCATGATGGATGGAAAAATATGAAAAAAAATCAGGGAGATAGATTGGTTGCTAATCTGTTTGGGAAAAATATTAAATATTTCTGAAACACAAATTTCTGCATGGACAAGAAAATGCCGGTGGCAAAAAATGCATTTTTTCCTCTGTGCTGCTACTCGTAGGCTTACACCGGTGGCTCGGTGGGCCAAGCTCGGAAAAGAGTGCCGGTTTGTAAAATTAGCGTTGGGGCGGGTGGTGATCTAGCTCCACGCGGTCGTTGATGCGCTCGTTCATGGCAGCGCAGTGAAGCGCGCACCGTACACTGGTGGATCTTTTTTTTTTTTTTTTTAAGAAAAAATCTGTCTTCTCCTCATTGGGGGACAGCTGTATATGTATATTTTTCTCTCAAATTTTCCCTTATATATATGGACCTTTGCAGCATAAGACAGTAAGGGTTATGGGTTGGATTCCTGGCCTCCAACTCTGCTCTCTGTGGGGAGCAGTACCCCGGCTCCTAACACCTGGCATGAGCTGGAAAGCCACGGCTGCTTCCACAACCAGCCAGGAGGCCCAAATTCGCCGCCCAATCCAATTATCTCCGCACTGGTGAACCTGAAGCGTGTCACAGGGGGATCGAATGGACGACATGGGGATCGAACTCACGACCTCCTGAATACCAATTACGTGCTCATCCAACTGAGCTAACCCGCTTGGGCGACACTGGTGGATCTTCTTCTGTGCTTGTTGGGAAATCTTTTGGAGGTGAGGGAGTGGGAGCACGTGGGCGCTGGAGGCTCTTCAGCACTGTGCCTCAGTTGAAGTACCCTTTAAGACCATGACAACTGAAGGTTGCTCATCTGAGGCTTGGCAGTTAGCATGAGGGGATGGAAACCAAACTTGCAGCTGATGTTGTGTCCTGAGCGTTTCGCTCGAGTCCATGTAAGAGTGTAAACACTGTAAAGTCAATAATGCTTAAGAGACACCATTCACGCTTGCGAGTATTTCTTGTTTTCATGTCTAAAGGTCTCATGGTTACTGATCTTTAAAACAGGAAAATTATATTGCTCCCTCTTTAAACTCTGCCAAGCGGAGTAAAGGTAGGCTAGCCAAGCTATGTGCTTGGTTTGAAGACTGTGAACAGAGTTCTGTAGAAACTACTGCAAAGCAAGGCTTAAACCGCGGGAAAATTTCAGGTAAAAGCGTCCCACGCTCTCCATGTGCCCCATTCGTTCCGTTAACCATCTCTCTCCGCAGCCGGCGCATTGACGGCCGCAAGTTTAGCAAGTACTGGCGGTTTAAGCCGCTAGTTCCGGAACCCTCCCACCAAAGCTTGCGGTTGTGTACATGCAGTAGCCAACCTTTCGATGTACCATACCAGCGGGGACCAGTTTGATTTCTCTGGGTTGTGGGAACGGAAAATTTCAGTTTTGAGTCTGTTCGGGAGATGGTTAATGGAAGGCCCAAAATTCGGGGTTTTTCACTGCATCACCGCAGGCAATGTCGTCGAAAAATTCACGAACAAACAATGCAGGCTCATAATAAAAACGTAAAAACACTAAGCCGGCAAAAAAAGCATAAAAAAAAAACCCTCAAAAGCACTATAAAACCCTATTCGGTGTAGCTTTTGGAGTTTGGGTGAAAAATTTGCTGAAAATGACACCACCTATTAAGTTAGTATTAACCAATTGTGGTCTGTTCGACACAATAGCGTCCATGGCAGTGGTGGTTTAGATATGATACTTCCATATTGGACATTTCAGAAGTTCAGATTTATACTGGAAAGAAATGGACAGAGGAGAAAGATTATGCAGGTTCCTACTTACCACTGTGAAATTGTAGATACTAGATATGGATCGTAATTTCGACTGCCGTATCAAATCCAATCATGCCAAGTCACTTCCTTTGCTCTAGCATTGCGACAACGCCGACAAGGTATTTATTTATTTATTTTCCAGGAAACACACACCCTGCCGTCCACAAGACTTGGTGGGTTTCTTGACATGGAAAGATATGATCTTGCTGAGGGAACGGAGAGGATGCGCACATCGTAACACGTTTTGGGTTTCTGCATTTTGTGTGTCTTCAGGACACTCTTGCATATGTTCTTTATTATCCACAGAAGCCACTCGTCACCACCCGAGCCATGGAGCATTTACACTTTCGACAGCTGCCTGCTGGACAGGTATGCACCTTGTTGACCTTGTTCTTGTTTCCCTTTTTTTGTGTGTGTGGATTGCGATGTTTTGCCAAGTTTCAACGAAAGCTAGCATAGTCTGACTATATTTGTTTTTGCGTGCTCTTTTCGATGTCTCTAATTGCTTCGCTCCTTTCGGAGTGGCAGTGGCCGTGATGTTCTATGTGGGTTTCCCAATTGCTGCAAAATGCTTTGAACCCTCTAGAAGCATCTGGGGAGAGGTGAACAGGGGTGGGTGGAATAGGGGGCACACAGAGAAAGGGACAGAGGGAGGGAGGGAGGCCGGGACGGAGAGGGGGGGGTGGAG